CATCACTTTTTGTCCTTCAAAACTTTGAGCTCATCATCCACCTTTGCTAGCTCACTTTGTAAGGATACAATATTTGTGTTAATTTCTTTCGAACAAAGAAAAGAATCATCTAGATGTGCCTCAAGCTCTTCAAACTGAGTTTCAAGCTCTACATTAGAAGATAAACTTGAATCAAGGTTATTGAAGTTTTTCACTTTCAAGATGTAATCCTCCACCAAAGCTTTCAAAGGAGTTATGTCAAGAGCTTTATATTCTCCAATGGCATCAATAATCTTCCATATCTCATTTTCAAGTGAAGGTAATTGAGAAAAAGAAGTCTTAATACTCTTTTGATGAATACAACTCCACATAGTACCAACAACTTGTTGGTTCTCGAGAAAGGAGTTCAGTTCTCGAGAAAGGAGTTCAGTTCTCCTTAAGTAAGGTCTTGAGTTTGAGTCTTGTAAATGGAAAAACAGGTGTTGGGAGAGCTTCTCCCCTTATGGGGTCCAACATGTCCCGATTCCAAATTAGTCGGAACCCAATGTGGTTATCGAATACTGAGAAGTTAGTAACAAAATACTCCTCCACAGAGTTAAAGCAAGTTGTATCGTTTTGATGAATAATGCCATATGTGTAGAACAGAGAAACATCCAAAGGTAAAGAAGTTTGAGGCCTTGAAATTCTCCCAACTGGTTTAGCAAGAGAGGTTTTACTCAAAGATTTGACTTCACATTCTGCCTACTCTTTGTTTTGGATAATAGAATCTTTGGTGGAAGACTTTGCATCTTGGCCATCCTTTGCTAGAGCACCTTCCAATATGATAGGAGGAATTGACTTTGATAAAGGAGTATGAGGAGAATGATTTTGCCTTTTCTTGCTATGTTTCCAATAAACATCTAGGTTAACACCATGAAAGGGCATGGAATCACCATTCTTTTCATGAAAAGTAGGGGGCAATAGGTAGAGTTTGGCCTTTAAGAGACTCTACACTTGATTCATCCTCACTTAAGAGATAAGCTGCAATTGCCTTTCACTTAGAATCAAGGTTAACATCTCTAGTAGAATCATTCTTTCATTTGGTTTGCGCCACTTGGCAACTTGAGATCAAAACATTTACACCATCCTTGAGATAAGTCCCATGCACTTGTCTCCACCATTGGGAAAATCTCTGAGAAATATGTGCCTCAAAGTTTAAAGGGCTAGTTGGAGAGATCAATTTTGACTTGGTCCTATTAGCAACCCTAATGCACCAAAATTTGACAAAAACACCCAAGGATCTAGAACGAATGTCATTCTTGAGTGTTTCAGGCACATCTTGATAAAACACTTCTTGATAAAAACTGAATTGTCATCTAAAGCGATGTGGACGATAAGTCTCAATTATGTTTAACTTATTGAAGCAAGCAATCAAACAGCTTGAATGAATGCTAACAAGATAGCTCAAATCCACAAAGTCAAGTGTTCCATTATCAATAACTATCTCTAATCGATTGCTTGTATGTAGATTAGAGTTCCATGTTATGTTATCTCCATTTTGAATTAAATTGCAAGCTGCAACCTTCTCAAAGTAGTTTGCCCCACCTTCTCTAGAATGTTAAGCCATTTTTGGGCCATAAATCTCATAAGAGATAGGAAAATGTGTAAAGAAGAAATGACTTAACCACCCATAAACATAATGAATAAAAAAACATGCAGATGAAAGAACTTGGATGGATGGATTTAGCAATATCATTTACTCTATAAATGGTCGCTAAGACTAGAATAGTAAGATTGAAAGTCTGACCTACCACCATTAAGCTAGATACCTTAAAAGTCTCAGGTTGAACACATCAAGACTCGTTGATGGGAAAAGTAAACACACATAACCAACAAGAAATAAAAGTTGCTATATAGGTCTCTCTCCTTATTCTTGCTTCAACTTCAAATTCTTCAAAGAATTGAAATTGCTCTCGTGACCAGTTCTTGAATGGGCCAAGGACTCCTCTAAGATTATAAGTTGACTCGAGTCTTGACCTTTAAACCAATAGTTAACACATGTTTCTATTAAAACACGTGGGATTTTCTCTCTTAACACAAAGACGATAAAGGCAATGAATAAATATTCACAGCTTTTTGGCACAAATTTCCCTTTGACATTACTTTCAGTTAGCTTAGTAGAACTTGGAATCACTTCTTCATAAGGATTGCCATGAATAGGAGTCCTCCAAACTTATACCAATCCCATAATGAGATTGATAACTCCCTTGAGAAGTATGCAAAGAATTAGTATTTGGACACCATCCTTCACAAAAGGCTCACATTATATCCTTGTTTCAGTCATAAGTATATAGAGAAGCATAAATTGCATGATAAATATGAGCAATGTTGAGGATCTTTTCACCACAAATGAGTATATCTTCAAGTCATTCCCAATATATTGGAGTAAATGGGAACTCACCATTGATCTTGAAGAGAGTACCGTAGAGTGCTTAACCCAAAGTAATGCGACTACCTTAGGTCACAAATTTGTCTTCCTGGGTAGTGGACTCATGAAGTGTCAATTGAAGAATAAACTTAATTCTCGGAAGCTTCAATGGACTAATCTTTTGAAATAGGAACATTGACAAGCCTTGGCCACGAACAAGTGCATCTACCATATTTTGGGGGGTTGATATGCAAAAGTAACCCCTTGCTTTTATCTTCTTTCTCATGCTCAACAATGGAAAGATAGTTTTTGCTTGAAGATGTATAATGCTTAAAGAAAACCATGATGAAATCTTAAGGGAGCTTAGAGAATGCCTTAAGTTCCACCAAAGACACCTATGTATAGGCTCTAAATATTCAAAGCCTATTCAAAATATGAGTCTCCAAAACTCTTCTTA